AGCTTTCCTGTGATGCTTCTAAGGTCGGCATTGGTGCTGTTCTGAGCCAGGAGTCGCGCCCGGTGGCGTTCTTCAGTGAGAAAATTTCAGGCCCCCGACTTCGTTATAGTGCTTATGACATGGAGTTTTATGCTGTGTACCGGGCAGTCCACCATTGGCGACACTACCTCTTTCACCGAGAGTTTATTCTCTTTTCTGATCATGAGGCTCTGCGACATCTCGCTTCCCAGGACAACATCTCTTCTCGCCATGCCACGTGGACTTCCTTTTTGCAGCAGTTCACTTTCGTCTTGAAACACAGGTCGGGCGCTTCTAATAAGGTGGCAGATGCTCTTAGCCGGCGATCCATGTTATTATTTGATTGGCGTGTTGCGGTGGTAGGGTTTGATGTTCTTCGTGACTTATATGCTTCTGATCCCTTTTTCGGCCCTATTGTTTCTCGCCTTTCCTCTGGCCCGTTTGAGGATTATGTGTTGGTCGATGGGTTCTTGTTTCGTGGCCTCTGTTTATGTGTTCCGGATGGTAGCCTGCGCGTACAGCTGGTGGCTGACTTGCATGGTGCTGGACATGTCGGCCGCGATCGTTCCGTGGAGCTGGTCCGTCGGTCCTTCTTCTGGCCTTCCTTGCGCCGGGATGTGTCTCGCTTTGTCGAGCGTTGTCGTATTTGCCAGGTCTCTAAGGGTGGGTCGACTAATGCGGGCCTCTATCGACCATTACCCATTCCTACTCAGCCTTGGTGCGCCATCAGCATGGATGTTGTGGTTGGGTTGCCTCGCACTCAGCGAGGATTTGATTCTATTTTTGTGGTCGTGGACCGATTCTCTAAGATGGTCCACTTTATTCCTTGCAAGTGCACGACGGACGCGGTTCATGTCGCCCAGCTCTTCTTTCGTGAGATTTATCGTCTGCATGGGCTGCCCTCGTCTATTGTCTCGGACCGTGATACCCGTTTTCTGAGTTTCTTTTGGCGCAGCCTTTGGCGGATGGCGAGCACTCGCCTTGACTTCAGTAGTGCCTATCACCCTCAGACCGATGGGCAGACTGAGGTGGTTAATCGGTCTCTTGGGAATTTGCTTCGCTGTTTGGTCGGGGAGAATGTGCGCAGTTGGGACGGTCGTCTCCCTCAGGCGGAGTTTGCGCACAACTCCGCGGTGTGCCGGGCCACGGGTTGTTCCCCTTTTCAGATCGTGTATGCCGCCCAGCCACGTGGCCCTACTGATTTGCTGGCCTTGCCGAGCCCGGGAGGGGCTGACAAGCGGGCCGAGGATTTGATGGCCGACTTACGGCGGACACATGCGGCGACTCTGGCCCGTCTCGAACAGGTCACGACCACGTACAAGAAGCAGGCCGACCGCCGGCGGCGTCATTTAGAGTTTGAGGTGGGCGACTTTGTGTGGGCGGTCTTGACCAAGGACCATTTTCCGGCTCACGAGTACAACAAGCTTTCGGCCCGGAAGATTGGACCTGTGGAGATTGTGGAGAAAATCAATCCAAACGCCTACCGCCTTCGCCTTCCATCCCACATTCGCACTTCGGACGTTTTCAACGTCAGGTGGTACCTTTTCTCGGCAACAACTCAGACGACGAGATCCCCTTGGATTCGAGGGCGAATCCTCGCCAACCGGGGGAGAATGATGGCGACGAGATCGCATTGGCTTATCTGGACAAGTTCGATCGCCTTCGTATTTAGTTATTTATTATTTATAGCACTTTTATTTATTTTTATTTATTTCCTTTTATTTATGATTTGGGATATCTATTACTAAAATAAGTCTAGGGTTTGGGGAGTCTATTTAAATGGGGATGAGTTCTCATTGTAAAGCAGACATCGTATGAATAAAATTATCTCTTGAGTTCTCTTTGTGAGTTCTTATTCTCCTTTCGTACGTTTCTCCTGCGTCAATGTGTTTTCAATTTGCAGCAAACTAGTAAATTTCTTTTATGTCCTTTATCGACCATAATATCTTATTAACTTACAACTACATCAAGTCTTTAAGTACTCATAATTAATAACACTTATAGATATGATAAAAAAAAATGAAATCAATTGCCTACCTATAATTCACAATAAGCAAGTTGTAACCAAGTGAGGCAAGGAAAGCAGATGGCTTTGTGAAGCTTGACAATGACACGGAATGAGGACCTCCGTGAAGGATTACAATTAATGGGTCAAGCTTCGACTTCTCAGACTTCGACTTTGATGAAACGTATATAGCCTCAAACGGTTTGCTTGCACCTAGTACAAATTTAAATTATAAAAAGGTGATTGATTAAATAAAAACAGCTCAAACAATATGTACATTATAAATGTCAGCCTGTTTAGAGGATCTTGACCCATAAGACAATGTAAAAGCTAACAACTTTTTCAGAACGTACCAAAAGGTAAAAAAACTCAAAGGGTAAACTAAAACAACAGTAAAATGTAAAAAACCTGAAAACACTAAAACAATCCTCAAAAATGGAAAAAAAAAAAAA